TAATTGGGCTCATAAATCGCTGTGGCAGCTTTGTGCTTTGGGACATTTCCACACTTTAACAAACACACGGAGATTTAACGCCTTTCCTCTTTACCTGGACTCTGGACTCAGGGAGGTTGATTTTCAGAGCGACCTCCTCCCGCATGAAGATGTCCGGGTACCGGGTTTTGGCGAACAGAGCCTCCAGCACGTCGAGCTGGGAGCGTGTGAAGGTGGTCCGCTCCCGCCGCTGCTTCCTGGGGGTCGCTGTGGAGAAGACGACACCTGAGAACGTCAGTAAAACGGTTCACCACCTAATAATGGCTTTGTTTCTGCTGGCTGGAGAATAATAATAACGACACATGGACACAAATTCATCCTCATTAATTATAAAACTAAAACATTCATTTGTCTTCTACACGTCACGCGTTGAAAGTAGTGATTTATGAAGTGTTTTCTCATTAACACTTTAATTTAAAGACGTGGAGAAATAAACTAAATTTCACTTTTAGCCATGAACAGTCCAGGGAAGTAAACAACATGGAAACTAACGTTGTTGCTTTGAATGGTTTCATCTAATTAGCATTTTAATACATGTCCTGTATTAATAAACTCATTTTAAAATGCCACTTCACATCTTACTATGAAAACAGGGCAAATTAATCATTTAAATCCGGTCACTCGTTCGTTAGGCCCAAGACATTTTAGATTCATGTGCTGCCGTTATTCTATTAAAGAAATCTTATTTAACATCGGTAGGATTTTTCCATGCTGACTGCAGCTGGTTTCCTGCTCCACACTGTGTGTGTGTGCGTGTGCGTGTGGCGGGCTCGTACCTGGATAGCCCACCGAGGGGTGCAGCAGGTCCACGGCGGCGCCGCTCAGCCCCAGGCCGCTGACGCCGTAGGGGGGCTGTTTGAGGTAGGACATCATGCTACAGGCGGTCACTGCTCCACCCAGCTCAGGCCAGTGGTTCGGTTTCCCCCGGTGCTGCAGCTTGACGGGACAGGGGGCCGATCCAAGTCACTGCAAACGGAGCCAAGGACAAAGTAGTGTCAATATGTGAGAAATCAAGAAAAGCAGAACGAGGTTTCACTGCAGGAGGCGTCGATCTGGACAGGATGAAACCTGGACAACGTCATTTCTAAAGAAACAAACCACCACGACCTTCTGAGGAATTTACTTTATATTCAGCTGCTGAAATGGCTGTTTTTTTTTTTTTTTTTTTTAAAGGTGCATGGACATGAATACTGGAAATGGATCTTATATGCTTAATGGCTCCAGAGGTTTCTAACAAATCATACTGTAATTATTTAGTGACACTGGAATATGAAATTAATTGGTCATCATCTGATTTCTCTGCAGCCCAAAGCCCAAAAAGTCAAGAATGTGACAGTGACTTTATCAATAAACCCACGGGTCCCTGAAATCTGTGTGTTTTATTCTGGTCATAAATCATAAACGTTTATTTATCACAGCTGCCTGTAGAATAATGTGAGGTGCGTGTTTGGTCACTTTAAAAATCTAAACAAAGATTTTTCCTTTTAGCAAACGGGACGTTTTTATTCTCTCACTTGTTTCTCTCTAAATATTTTAATGCAACAGATGTAAAAGTTTAAAGCCAAAAGGCTACACACACACACAAACACACACGCGTGTGTGTGTTTGTGTGGACCTGCACTGACACACACACACGTAAAAAGACTGATTTATTTGTTTAATGAACTAAAGTTGTGGAGTGTCTCTGTCCGTCTCTGGTCATCAAACCGTATTGGATTCTATTTTAACAACCAGGTGGAAATGACCTGAATCCGCGTTGGAATAAAAATCTATTTAATAACAAACATCCACCAAATTACAGGCTTGGTTTTTAAGACAAGTCGCTTTTACTTTCACAACACATCGCATCATATTAGCACCAGTTTGTTTTATTAAATTTAAAACTCAGAATAAAAAAAAAACACCACTGAAAAGGGTCAAATTATTATTGACTCCTTTCAGTTTTTGAAAAGGAACAGCTGTGGTTTTCATGTCCGTGCCTGGTTTTAAATCCTGTTCAGGCCCAACGTTTTCCCCTGGTGTTTACGACTGAATTAAGAATTAATCTTTAGGGGGAATGAATACAACCCTCAAGCAACAAACAGAAAATAAACCGGTTTATTTGAAGCAGCTGAAATTCAACAACTCCTCGGCCTAATTTGACTTTGCTCTGAGAAAAGACTGACGCGTCTTGGCGAAAGTTTGGACGCGTAAATTCTGTATTTCCCCACCAACCTGCACTGAAGAATGATCTAAACACGGCCCTGAACTTTATCATGTGTGAATTAAATTAGAGACTGAAGGGAGATTATTTTATCAATGAGCTTCCAACTGACCAAACCGAACCTCGAGCAGCCAGACGTGTATTCCAGCTGTTTTAAACCAGCCCTGCCAGGCCGGAGTGAAAGGGCGAGATCTCGGTGCAAATGAACTCAATTAGAATTTAGATTAGACCTCCGGGGACAGAGCGTTTCACAAGGGCTCTTATCAGCAAAATTAACTAAATTAACAAAACCCAAAACACGCCTCTCCAATTATCCACCAAGTGCTCCAAACGTTTTAATGGCCAGTTGCTCCCGGAGAAACTCCAAGGAGTGAACTGGAATAGAAATATGACAATTATCTTCCAGGGAGGAAGTGGACGAGCTCGTCCACGTACAGCGGACTTTTCCTCCACGTTGCGGATTAACTGATATCTCCGCAAAAATTCTCCCACAAAACGTGCAGAGGTGCAAATTGAAATGGTGCACGCCGAGGTCACACTTTAACGTGGAAACATTTTCCTAAGGTGTTTGTTTGAACGACTTGGTCGCTTTTACTCTTCAGCAGCTTCTGTTAATTGTGAAGCTACTTGAAATACAAACGCGCTCAAAACAAGAGTTTCCATTAAATTAGTGAAAGAAGACAGAAGAAACGTTACCTTGTTGTTTCCCTCCTTCCCCCGAAGCTCTCGGGCCACACGAGGCGAGCAGCAGTAAATTATCCAACAGTAGGAAGTCTGCAGGGCACAAAACCGGAGAAGCAGCTGCAGCAAACTTGCTCAGAAACAAACAACGGTGTGCAAACCGAGCAGCATCGCGGAGAAACACGCAGGCAGGTTGTCAGCACACGGGGCGTCACCGCGTCCTCGGTGCGGTTCCGGGGGTTTTAACAGCCAAATAAATCAAACTCATTTGCTTTCAGGGGGCTTGTCGTTGTCTGTCAGAGTGTTAAGGTGATTTCTAATGGAGACGGATGGAGATTGATCACCTTCTCTCCGCCCTGCGCCTCTATGAGCGGAGGACACCTGCGGATCCGCCTCCTGCCGCCAATCGGGGAGAGAACCCCGCACAATAGGCG